TTTTCAACTGTTGCCAGTTCCCATTATCACCTATTCTGCTCCTGGCTTCCTAACAACAAGCCTTTTGTCTGCTTTCCATTTTTACCCCATTTGAAACTGAAACTGCCTGAAACCGTCAGAGGTCAGGCAGCTACTGTAGCAAGAAAAGCAGAGTTAATACCAATTTCTGAAGAAGGGTCTAGACCCAAAACATCAGCTTTCCTGCTCCTCTGATGCTGCTTGGCCTGCTGTGTTCATCCAGCTCTGCACCTTGTTATCTCAGAATCTCCAGCATCGGCAGTTCCCGCTATCTCAGAGTTAATACGCATGGCTTTTTAACAAAACAAGATTTTTTTTTGTCATATAAACCAGGGCAGGACATACACAGTGAATGGTAGGGTCCTGAAAAGAGTTGTCGAGCAGAAAGATTTAGGGATGCAGGTACATAGTTCCTTGAAAGTGGCACTGCAGGTAGACAGGGTGGTGAAGAAGGCATTTGGCATGCTTGCCTTCATCGGTCAGAACATTGAGTATAGGAGTTGAGACGTTATCTAACAGCTGTACAGGGCACTGGTAAGACCACATTTGGAGTGCTGCATATAATTCTGATTGTGCTGCTAAAGGAAGGATGTTAGTTAAACTGGAAAGGATGCAAATATAGTTTATAAGGATGTTACCAAGACTGGAGGGTTTGAGTTTTAAGGAGACGCCGCATATGCTGGGGCTATTTCTCCCCAGGATTGTTGGAGGTTTGAGGGGTGACCATATAGAAGTTTCTAAAATCATGAGCGGCATAGGTAAGGTGAATAGCAAAGGTCTTTTTCCTGGGGTGGGGGAGTCCAAAACTAGACAGCGTAGGCTTGAGGTGAGAGGGGAAAGAATTAAAAGGGACCTGAGGGGTAAATTTTTCACACAGAGGGTGGTGTGTGTATGGAATGAGCTGCCATAGGAAGTGGAGGAGGCTGGTACAATTACAACATTTAAAAGGCATCTGGATGGGTTAATGGATGTGAAATGTTTAGAGGGATAGGGGCCAAACACAAGCAAACGGGACTAGTTCAGTTTAGAAAACCTGGTCAGCATGGATGAGTTGGGTCGAAGGGTCTGTTTCCGTGCTGTATGACTCTATGGGCACTGTCTCCATCCATCTGTCTCACTCTTTTCTCACTTCTCCAACCTCTCTCACTCTCTTCCCATCCCCCCACCCCCCCCCCCCTCCACCCACCATCAGCAGAAGCGTTGCCCTTTCTTGGCTGCTTTCTCTTCTGAGGAAGGGTCGCCAGGCCCTGAAATGTGAGCTCTGTTTCCCTCTCCTCCGATGCTGTCAGACCTGGCTGAGGTTCTCCGGCACTTCCTGCTTCACATTCGTTTCCAGATCCCCGGGCTCTGTTTCCTCTCTCTCCTTATCTGTCCAAAAACCGACAAGATTCGATTCCTGCATTTGGATAGCGCCTGCACCTCAAGTGTACCGCAGCGGCTGCGGTGCGGTCTCTTGAGGGTGGGAGCACCCTGAAGTTGTGAAGGGAGATACGCAAATGTGACATTAATGACCAGCTTCCTTTACAACGACAGGTAGCGCTTCATGGAGGTTTGGGCCCAGTTTCCTAGTCACTGTCACCAGCCTTTCAAACCGCAGTAATGTTCTGAGGACACTCAATCTTATGACATTGCTCACAACAATATGCTGGGGCAGTTTGACAATGACATGGGAACGTAAGCAAATTCATTACATTTCTTTAAACACAGTGTGTAAAAAAAAAGAGACAACAGGGTGCAGGGCTGGATGAACACAGCAGGCCAAGCAGCATCATAGGAGCAGAGAGGCTGTGTCGGTTCGCAATAAACAACTGCACCTCCCAGTCGCGAACCATTTCAACTCCCCCTCCCATTCCTCAGACGACATGTCCATCCTGGGCCTCCTGCAGTGCCACAACGATGCCACCCAAAGGTTGCAGGAACAGCAACTCATATTCCGCTTGGGAACCCTGCAGCCCAATGGTATCAATGTGGATTTCACAAGTTTCAAAATCTCCCCTCCCCCCACCGCATCCCAAAACCAGTCCAGCTCGTCCCTGCCTCCCTAACCTGTCCTTCCTCCCACCTATCCCCTCCTCCCACCTCAAGCCCCACCCCCATCGCCTACCTACCAACCTCATCCCTCCCCCTTGACCTGTCCGTCCTCCCTGGACTGACCAATCCCCTCCCTAACTCCCCACTTACACTCACCTTTACTGGCTCCATCCCTGCCTCTTTGACCTGTCTGTCTCCTCTCCACCTATCTTCTCCTTTATCCATCTTCTATCCACCTCCCCCTCTCTCCCTATTTATTTCAGAACCCCCTTCCCCTCCCCCATTTCTGAAGAAGGGTCTAGGCCTGAAACGTCAGCCTTCCTGCTCCTCTTGATGCTGCTTGGCCTGCTGTGTTCATCCAGCTCTACACCTTGTTATCTCAGACTCTCCAGCATCTGTAGTTCCTACTATCTCTAGGCACTGGGAAGCTTTTTCCACTTTTAAGCAAAGCAAAACCTAGGGACACAATCTCAGAGCAACGGGGTCAATCAGTGTGAACTGAGATAAACTCGGCACAAAGGGTTGAGAATCGTTGGAATCCCTGAGGGTTGTGAACCCACTGCGTCTGAATACAGTCAAGGCCGGGATCCAAAGTGATTCAGTGTCTTGGGATTCAAGGTCGGAAAATGGTGTCAAAGCACAAAATCAGCCACGATCTTACCACTTAGGGAAAGGCTCAATGGGCTGAATGGTCCACTCCGATTCCAACTCCTTGTTGACCATTTTGGAACACTGTGTCCAGTTCTGGTCGCCCCACTATAGGCAGGATGTTATTAAACTGGAAAAGGTGTGCAGGAAAGATTTACAAGGATGTGACCGAGACTGGAAGGTTTGAGTTACAAGAAGAGGCTGGATAGGCCGGGATTTCTTTCGCTGAAGCATTGGAGGCTGAGGGGTGACTTTATAAAATCATGACAGGCATGGATAGGGTGAATAGCCAAGGTCTTTTCCCCCAGGTTAGGGGTGGTCAAAACTAGAGGGCACAGGTTTCAGATGAGAGGGGAGAGATTTAAAAAGGACTTGAGGGGAAACTTTTTCACGCAGAGGGTGGTACGTGTGTGGAACGAGCTGCCAGAGGAAGTGGTAAAAACTGATATAATTCCAACATTTAAAAGGCATTTGGATGGATAAATCCATAGGAAAGGTTTAGAGGGAGATGGGCCAGAACCTTATTGGGACTGGTTCAGTTTAGGAAACTTAGTTAGCATGGACTGGTTGGACCAAAGGGCCTGTTTCTGTGCTGTATGCCTCTATGACTCTAAGACTTTATGACTTTATGTACTCTGGTTTATATTCTGTCTGACTTTCTGACAGAGAGGACACAGAGGGTGGTTTGAGTGTGGAATGAACTTCTGAGGAATTGGTGGATGTGGGCACAATTACAACATTTAAAAGACATTTGGGTAAGTACATGAACAGAAAAGGTTTGGAGGGTTATGGGCTAGGAGCAGGCAGATGGGACTAGTCTAGTTTGGGATTATGTTTGGCGTGGACCAAAGGGTCTGTTTCCATGCTGTATGACTCTATGACTCTAAGTAATTGCTTGCCAGTAGGGATTAAGTGGTAAATTCTACCTTGGCATGAAACAACAGCCAAGAGTTTAACCTGATTTTACAGCAGGCATGTGTTTGGTATTGTGCCCACAGCTGGTGTTTGGTATTGTGCCCACACCTATTATCAATGATGCTGTGCTGATAGAGGTTATTGACGAATCTCCCTTTGGTGGGTCAGGTTTGACAGATATTGGGCATTCCAACCCACTCGGAAAATGGGAGTGGAGCTAACAGGAAAGCTGTCAGCCTGGGCACAGCCAATGTGGTGGATCTGGTGGGCGAGGGCTGTAGCAGAGCAAGGAACTCCTGACCCTCAACGGGAAGGTATGACAGGGGGAGGGGAGGGAAGGAGGATGCCAGAACGCTGGCTGAGAGTCAACATGAGAAACACTGCCAATTAGCTTTATCAGCAAAACAGGCAGCGTCGGCAGGAAGAGAAAATAAAACAATCATGTTTCAATCGTGCCCTATCATTGGGAACATTTAGTTTTACATTGTCGTGCTAAATGTCGACTGTCACATGTCAATCCATTTCTCCAGACTGTCCGAATACTCTGGAAATCTCCTGCTCCTAATCCTCGACCTTCGAGATTTTATGTATCTGCAATGTTTTAAATTATGATTTCTGCGTGCCCAAGCCCAGATCATTAAGTTATATTAAAATGTGCGATTGTCCTAACACTGAAAGCTTGGGAATGCCATTTTTTATTTACATCTGCTTTTTAAAAAGTCAACAACCATTTGTCAAACCTTAACTCCCTATCATTTGGTCAATTTTATACCCAATCTCGTCGATGTCCTTATAACCCCATGGTCTTTGATATTGCTAGCACCCCTGTTATGTAGCACTTGATCAGAGCCATTTGGAAGTCTATCTATGCAACAATAAAGTTGCAGATGCACCACAGAAAGCATTCTATCTGGATGAATCACAGCTTGGCATGGCAACTGATCTTCCCAAGACTGAAAGAAATTACAGAGAGTTGTGAACACACCCCAGTCCATCATGCAAATAAATCTTCCATCCACTGACTCCATCTGTACTTCTCGCAGCCTCAGGAAGGCAGCCAATACAATCAAAGATCCCTCCCACCCTGGTTATAATCGCTTCCAACTTCTTTCATCAGGCAGAAGATACAAAAGCTTAAACACACATACCAACAGATTCAAGAACAGCTTCTTCCCTGCTGTTATTAGATTTCTGGATGGATCTGTCAAATTTTAAACTTAATGTCGATCTCGCACTTTGTGCACCTTTTCTGCAGCTGTAACATTGTATTCTTCATTCTGCTCTCCTACCCTAAAGCACTTTGTATGGTATTGATCTGCCTGCATTGCACGCAAAACAAAACTTTTCACTGTACCTCGGTACATGTGACAATAATGAATCAAATCAAATCAAATCAATAATTGTATTATCCTCATCAACACTCTCCTTTGCTTCATCAAAAAACTCAATGAAAGTTCATCGGAAAAAATGTACTTTTAACAAATCATTGTTGGTTGTCAATCATTAACCCTTGTTTTTCCAAGTGACAAATATTGATTTCTTCTGAACTTTTGCCTGTAGAATTTACCCCCATCGGTGACAGGCAGCTGATGAGTATGTAGTTATCTGATTTATCCTCTCTTCTCTCAAACTTGGCTGTTATGTTTGCAATCCTCTAGTCCAGAAGTACCAGGATCAAATCAGCTGGGTACCTTACATCAACAAATAAAGATTCATTGGTTGCAAAACACTTTTCTCAAGAGAAGGTCCAAAGATTATTAACAAGAGTGCAAATAGGTTCAGCTCCATTCTTGAAAAGCAACACACTTACACATACTAAAACTTTGCAGCGTGCTTCCTCAGAGGAACGTTGAAGAGTAACAGTTAAATTCAGGAAAGAAATTAATTGTTCACTGAATTTTATTCCCAAAATGCTGATCTGCAGTCAAATTCACTTACCAAACCCTAGTTATTGGTACTGGGGTTTTTCCCGTGGATCAGTTATGACTGGTTGAAATTTCTTGGACATACAGTGGCTGTAAGTTCAGACTTTGTCCTTAAGAAGCCTCCATTTGCTGCAATGGGGTGTTCCAGTGGGTTTTCAACTCACAAGTTTTGATGAGCGGGGTTTTTGAAGAAGGATGGATGGAAAAGTCTGATGCACCTGTAGCAAGTTCACTGTGTCAGTCTACGATCAAAACTAATATTGATACACACTCAAACTGGGCCATGTGACCGCTCTCAGAAAGTGGTGCAGACTCGGTGTCTCCATTCACACAGCTCATTCTTCACAAATGCAACATTTTTTTGCTGGTGTAGCCAATGTCTTCTGTGCTGTATGCAATGGCAGAGACTATAAATTCATACTTTAGATAACACATCTCCATATCAGTACTCAAAACATCGCCTCTTGAAAGCCTTGCACTGTGCATTGATTGTTTTATTCACCAATTTTTGATTTCCAACCTTGCAATTATATTTGTTGCATAACAGCATGTGCAGATAAATATGTTCCATGTTGGTGTAGATAGCATTGGGAGTCATAGAGAAAGACCCTTCAGCCCATTGATTCTTTTTCAGTCAAAAACAGCCAATTACGTAGGAGTAGGGTCGTTGGGATTTGTTAACCTATGTTAACAAATGTTTCCTTATGTTATTAACACAAATGAAAGCATCCTATCTGAATGCACCACAACTTGGTATGGCAAATGCTCTTCCCAAGAAAGCAAGAAACTACAAAGAGTCATGAACACAGCCCAGTCCATCACACAAACCAGCCTTCCATCTATTGACTCCATCTACACTTCCCGCTACCTCAGGAAAGCAACCAACATCATCAAAGACCCCTTCCCACCCTGGTTATACACTCTTCCACCCTCTTCCGTCAGGGCAGAAGATATAAAAGTTTGATTGCATGGACGAACAGATTCAAGTTCAGCTTTTTCCCCGCTGTTATCAGACTCCGAATGGACCTCTCAAATGTTAATGTTGACCTCGCTCTCTCTGTACCTTCTCTGTGGCTGCAACGTTATATCCTGCACTCCGCTCTGCTACCCTGATGCACTTTGCATGGTACGATCTGCCTGTATAGCACGCAAAACAACACTTTTCACTGTATCTCGGTACATGTGACAGCAATCAATCAATCGATATGTCACCTTCAGCTGCGTTTTCTGCCCTCTCCCTGTCTGACTCGAACCACTTCCTATAATTATGTCACAAACCCTCTCATTTAAAGAAAACCACACACAAAAAAAGGAATGAGCAGTTTAATCATGGCTTGTGCACCCTTTGGTTGAACACTGTATAAATAATATTCCGTTCTTACTATGGCCATCTCCTGACTTTCGCAAGTTCAAACTTAGGTTTAGCTCTTTGAGCCATGTTTCCCAAGTTTTATCCTGACATGACCCTACAGAGTGGCCTCAGACTGTGTGTTGACACGGAGGGAAGTTCTGGGGAGGCCATGAGAGGATGTCGAGCAGGGAACTGGGAGTATGGGGAGTGGGGAATGGGGAACATTTTCATTCTGAATTGACAGGAAGAGTGTGGAATCAGGTGTTTAGCATGAGTAGGAAGGGGGCTGGTGGTATTGTTGATAAAAGAAGAAAAACAAACTCCACTGGCTTGTTGTAGTCCCAACAGAAACCAGGCTTCAGTGAGTAGTCAGTCTGTATTATGGGCAGTAGGCCAACTGAGAATAGGGGCCTGGTAATTACAAAACCATTCCCCGAGATATTTGCCGTTTTGAAGCTCGTGACCCCTTGAAGCCTCGTCTTATGACCCTATTGGGGGCAAAGGTCATGGCCCAGGGCTTGGGAAGACAACCCCATTGAAGCCAGAGGTCACGCCCCACAGTTTGGAAAGACGACCATATGAGGGCCATAGGTATTGCTCCACGGCTTGGGAAGATGGCCCCATTGGGGTCAGAGGTCACGCCCCACGGCTTGGGAAGCCCCACCTTCCACAATGCTACAGGCAAAACCACAGGATTTCTGAAAGATTAAACTTTGGGTCAACAGTAGGCCGCACAGTATGATATCGTCCTGCTTTTGCTGAGGTGAGCTGTTGATTTTCACAATAGCTCCCTAAAGCGTGTGGCCACTTCAGCAGGATGAGGACACCGAGCAGGACGGTGCTGTGGTTCAGACCGATGACTAACACACAGGCTTCATGAGATTATTTTTAACCTTGGAATCACCACACAATTTACGGTTCGGAGCACCATTTTTACTTTTGATGAAACACTTTTCCTGGAATATTCAAACAACGCATGACAGTATTACATTTAAAAACTGATATTTATAGAGCTCAATTTAGCTACAGCATAATTTAATGTGCTCTTCCTTCCTCTTTCAGGCTGGACTGCTTTTGTTTATTCACTCGTTCATAATGATGAGGGAATTTGCTTCACATAATCCCCCCTCCCTTCCCAATTTGCTACTTCTATCTCGTGCCTACTCAAGACCAGACTCTTGTTTTATTCAGTTAACTTTTCATCCCAGTATAATCTTATTCAGAAGAATCGTATTGGACTCATAACGTTAACTCTGTTGGATGCTGCCGGACCGGATGAAATTCTCCAGCAATTTCTGTTTTTGTTTCAGAATCCACAATTTTCGACCTTTGCTGTTGTATTTTCTGTCTTGCTTTGCTTAAGAGCCCTCGTACAAGTTGGCATTTGAAAGGATAAACGAACTGAAGTCATGTCAAATTAGATTTTGTAGCTTGTTTTGGCAAGTCATTCAAAATGCAGTAAATTGCTTTTGTACAATGGCGTGAAGTAATATTCCAATACTGGGGTGTTTTTATATGTGCAAAACTTCTTAATGAGGCTACATTTATAAAGTCCCCTATCTCCAACTCTTCTTCTGTAAAGGCAGTGCCTCCACTGAAGTGGGAAGAGGTAGGGAATAATTAAACTAAGCTTTCTACTTTATCTCAAAGGATTACAAAATATTCCTCCACAAAGACCTGGCTAGGTTTTCTGAAACACTTTGGACAATTATCAGAGAAGATATGCCAATAGTTCAGATCAGCATCTAATTAATTTATCAAATACTCTTGCAGTCGGATGTAATTACGCAGGTCTTGCCTTTCGTAAGTAGGGACTCGGAACATTTGTTCACGCATTTACAGGTCCTTTCATCATGCTTCCTGTTAAACTTCCAGTAACTCCGAGAACTTGTTTGTCTCATTTCCCATAAGCCCAGTCCGTCACTCTACCAGTTACCCCTCTGCCACTCATTCATGTTTGCTGTCAGCTTTCCATTTCTGTCAGACCTTCCCACAATTTCAGTCATTCATACAGTCAAACAGCACAGAAACAGACCCTTTGCTCCAACCAGTCCATGCTGACCAAGTTTCCCAAACCAGACTAGTCCAACTTGCCTGCATTTTGTCCGTGTCCCTCTAAACCTTTCCTATCCATGCACTTATCCAAACATCTTTCAAATGTTGTAACTGTACCGGGATCTATCACTTCCTCTGGCAACTCGTTCCGTGTTCGTGCCATACTTTCTGACATCCTTCTGTCTTTATTTTTCGTTAAGTCGATCATCCCAAAGGGGTGGCATGGTGGCTCAGTGGTTAGCACTGCTGCATCACAGTGCTAGGGACCCAGGTTCAATTCCACCCTTGGGCAAACTGTCTGCGTGGAGTTTGTACATTCTCCCTGTGTCCGTGTGGGTTTCCTCCGGGTGCTCTGGTTTCCTCCCACAGTCCAAAGATGTGCAGGTTAGGGTCGGTTGGCCATGCTAAATTGCCCATAGTGTTCAGGGAGGTGTAGGTTAGCCATGGGAGAGTGCAGGGATAGGGTAGGGGGTTGAGTCTGCATGGGATGCTCTTTGGAGAGTTGGTGTAGACTTGTTGGGCTGAATGGCCTGTTTCCACACTGTAGAGATTCTATTAAAAAAAAGTGTATTCTGGTCCATTTGATTGAGTCACTCTCTATACCCTCTGCCCCAGGGATTCACTTCTGCAGATTTATTTTTATTCATTCACAGGACAAGGGCTTTGCTGCCTAGGCCAACATGTATTGCCCATCCCTAATTGCCCAGAGGGCAGTCAAGAGTCAACCACATTGATGTTCGTCTGGAGTCACATGTAGGCCAGACCAGGTAAGGATGGCAGCTTCCTTCCCTAAAGGGCATTAGTGATGTTACTGCCCTCCTCCAATTATACTTCCTTTAAATTCTAGGTTGTATGTTATCCACATGCACGCTTACAATAATATGCTCGTTAGCCCCAAAGGGGTCTCCAGTCGTGACATTGTTAACTCAACCCACTTCATTTCCCACAAATGATATCCAGCAATGCCTTACCTGACTTGGAAAGTAAACAGACCAATCAGAAAAATTCTCCTAAGCACATACTTCAGAAATTCTTCCTCCTCTCTCCCCTTATTGCAATCAATGCTTCAATCGTTCTATCCACCATCTAGAAGGGGTGTGATGGAATGGTCTCCACTTGACCCAATGAGTACAGCTCCAACAACACTCAAGATTCTTGAATCAGCCCTAAGCAAGGCAGCTCAATTGATTAGCATCCTGTCCACTCCTTTGTGCATTCACTACTTCCATCCCAACACACAGTGGCCATAAGTCATTACAATAAAGATAGTCTGCAGCCAGTTATCAAACCCCGTTGGACAGCACCTCCCAAATCCATGATCCTCGAGCACCTACATAGACAAGTAAGAAAGAACACCTTTGCAAGGCATTTTTGTGCGCCAATACTTAACTTCCATCACCCCACCATTGGTACTTATACCTCCAGCTGCCAGGGACCCTAAGAGGCTGTCTCATAACCTTTGAGAGAAAGCAAGCTAACATTTCGAGTCTCGATGACTCTTCATCAGACCCATCTGGACTCGAAACATTAGGCAGTTCTCTCTCCATGGAAGCTGCCTGACCCGTTGTGAGCTCCAGCACTTTTTGTTTTCGGTACAGACCCCAGAGTCTGCAGGTAATTACCTCCTTCATAACCTTTGACCTTGCCCACATCCCAGGGCCGAATAATGAAAAATGTTGGGGGAGTTGAGGTGCCCTATTATCAGTGGATCATGCACCTCTGCAACGTTTCTTTACAAATCTAACCCTCTGTCACCTTCCCACTCTTTAGTCGCCTTCAAAATGTGCCAAGAGGTATATTAACCCTTTCTTAACTCACATCAATTTGATTAAGTCCTTCCTCTGTCAAGGATATTCACTCTTTCTAGTGCTGCATTGTTCTCCTTAATGAAAACTCTCCCTATTTTCTTCAACCTATCTTTCATGAATAACTAGTACCCTGGAATATTACGCTGTCAAAGCTCCCCTTTGAGCCAGCTCCCAGCTATTTCCGCAGCTGTCTCACACTAGGCCCGAAACGTTAGCTTTCCTGCTCCTCTGATGCTGCTTTGCCTGCTCTACATGTGTTCATCCAGCTCTACACCTTGTTATCTCTGGCTACTTAGAAATCACATTTTGTGAATCCACATCCGAGCCTAACTGAGGCCCCTTTGTATATTCTTTGACCCCAGCTAATTCTATCCTATTTCTAACGTGATTTCTCTCTTCCAGCCTGCCACGTAGCTTATTCCTGCTGGTTATTATGATTTTTAACGTAAGATCAGGTACCCACACCCAGAGGAGTTCAGGAATCTGACTTGACACCTTGGCGATATTCACGATGCTGTCTGTGAGTGTAAGGGCGTGAATTGAGAGGGAGGTGATGGTCATTTCACGGTGCCAGTCTCCTCAGGAGGCGGGAGCTGGTGACTCACTGGTTCTGGCTACAACTGGCAGCAACCTGGTACTGCTCTGGTAGCCTGGTACTGCTCTAGTAGCCTGGTACTGCCTTCGAATCAAGGTCAGACAGCTGTTTGCCAAGTGTAGGCGCTAAAGCAAGGCACAATGTCCATTGATGACAAGCTAAGGAGCAGCCCAACGCGACTTGGTGAACCTATCCACCATGACAAATAAACTTTCTTTCTCCCCTCCGCAGTAAACCTTGATTTCTGTCCAGTGCAGTTCGCGAGTGTGTGGGCTTACACCGCAAGCTGCAACTTGTGAAGGTTTTGTCCTGGATATTATCTGTAAACCACAGTGTAAAACAATTCTGCCTGTGTACTATTGCTCACTCATCACTGGTCTTATTTCTGCAGACTCTTTAGTCGCTTTATTCTTGAGTGAACTGCCCACTGTTCAATCCCTCCTCAGGATAACAGAGTTTTGATTGCGGTGAACCTACCAATGATTCCATTGTGAAGCATGATGAGTCAGAGTGCATTTATCTTAGAACTGTGAGAGTGTTTGTCTCATTAATAACTGCCTCGCACCATTGACCGGAGACCCTGCCCACACCCAACCTGGGTTATTTGATATTTCAGATCAAGCTACTGGTTTTACCTTTCGCTGTGTTCTGTGACTGTGCTCAGATGGCGTCTGAGCTGCTCAAAGCCCAGGGTTTCACCAGCTCCACAACAGAACCATCCTGATGGTGTAGGAGAAGCAGTGAGTTTTTTGGGAGTGGGCTAATAGCACAGGCAGTGCCTTTAACATCAGGCCCTTATCAGCAGTAAGCCAGGCCCAGTGCTTCATCAAACCTCCTTCCCTCGATTGGCTGGCCCTGCCCACCAACCACACACACACCTCCCACACACTCCATACACTGACTGCACCCCCGCCAACCACACACACAGAGACATAGACACACACACACACACACACATGTAGACACACACACACACAGACACATAGACACACACACATACACACACACAGACACACAGACACACACACACACATAGACATACACACATACACACACTCATGCACACACACATTCACACTCACACATAGACACACACACACATCCACACAAACACACACACACTGATGTACACACACACTCATGCACACACACATTCACACACACACACACTCACACATAGACACAAACACACACACACAACACAGACACACACACAAACCACAAACACAAACATACACACACACAGACACACACAAACACACAAAAACATAAACACACACACATGCGCACAAACGTACACACAGACACAGACACACATGCATTCACGTACACCCACAGACACAATCATACCCACACACACCTAGACACACACACAGACACACATACACACACACAACACACAGGACACACACACACAAACACCGGCACACACATATGCACACACATAAAACCTCTACTTTTTAAATACTCTGCCTAATACACACACACAATGAGCACATGCACACACACTTCGTACCTACACACATTCTTGTGCACTCACACGTGCTATGCAGACACAAACTTGCCCATGCATGTACACTCGTACACACCCAGGCATATGCACACTTGTGTGCACAAACAGTCTCACGCAGACACACACAGGCACACATTTGCATGGGCATGCATATTAGACCCGGATACACACACACATTCTCACACGCACATTCTCACACTCTGTCTCTCACTCTCTTGCACACTTAATATCCACTTTCACATACACAACACACAGACACACACACACGCATGCTCACCACTCTCTCAGGCACACACACCTAAACACTCTCACACACACATCCTCTCATTTGAACACACTGTCCCTCCCTCAATCACTCACTCTCTCATTCACTCACTCACCCTGTCTCAAAGTTGAACACCAGACAGGACTCACCTCAGCAAATCAGCCCTGCTGGATCTTGAAAGTATTTTAACCTATTTAAGGGATTAACCTTTGAATCAGTTGCGGTCATTTTGTTATTCACTTCACTGATATAACCAAACATAAAGGTTACGGTCACTTTGGCTTTTTCCCCAGTTTGTCACTGATGCACAGACTCTAGACACTGCAAAATCAAGTTCTCACCCGTTTCATTACAGTTCCAATTGTAAATAAAGGCTGTAATTATTCATAATTGAAATGATGAGCAATGAATTTGTTGTTTGAAAGAAAGCAGAATTATCACTCAGCTTATTGGTGGTTAAAACAGAACACATCCGAAGTGTAGCGTTGGGCATTGGGCTGCTAAAGTAATCCATATACTAACTGGCCTGTCCTAACACTCCAACTGAACAATACACTGGTACAGGAACTATAACATGCTGTGTCTTTACATCAACAGAAACAGGACTGTTTTAATGCTCCGTATAAACTGAGCGATGGATGGCGTGGATTTAAACCACTTGGCTCTTGTGTCCAGGTCCATATGTCATGAATTCTCAGGAGGAAATCAGTGAAGCTATCAAAGACTTTACAGCTGAATTTGAGGAAGCAAGTGGGTTGGAGGTCAAAAGCCATCTCTCAGAGGAAGATGTGAAATCAAAAATGCTGAATATAAACAGCTGAATATAAAATGTTCAGTAATATTGTGAAGAAAATGATCACATTAAAATAGAGTATTGTACTCAGAATATACCGTTTACCTTATTTTAATTGTCTGATCATAAATAACTTCAATTAATTTCCAATTTATGAAGAAAATGATTAATTGAAGAGACCATATGACATGGGAGCAGAAATTAGGCCATTCAGCCCAATCGAGTCTGCTCCGCCATTCAATCATGGCCGATAACTTTCTCAACCCCATTCTCCCGCTTTCTCCCCATAACCCTTGATCCGCTTGATAATCAAGAACCTGTCTATCTCCGTCTTAAATGTACTCAATACCCTGGCCTCCACAGCCTTCTGTGGCAGTGAATTCCATAGATTCACCACTCTCTGGCTGAAGAAGTTTCTCTTTATCTCCGTTCTAATAGGTCTTCCCTTTACTCTAAGGCTGTGCCCTCGGGTCCTAGACTCTCCTACCGATGGAAACAGAGAGGTCTATCAAGGAGCTATCATAGGCTTGATGGGCGGACTGGACTTCAGTGCTGGAAAATTCTGTGATTGGATGACAACTGTTGCCCATAGCTGAAGGACTAAGACAAGGCTATTGGTGAGAAATGGGCCATGTCTCCTTGACCCATGGCACACTCCCTGCTATTTCCTTGACAGTGATTTTTCCCAATGATCAGGCATGGCCGCTCTTACCCAGAGGAGAGCTGTTGCATCACTTTGTCATTTCTCCAGGGACTGAGAACGCTGCAGCTTCAAATCAGCAAACTTAGACTTCACGCCTTTTGTACTGCACTGCCCTGCACCTGCAGAATTTTGTCACCATCATGCTGTGGCCAAGTAGTGAGGACCCAAATAAAGTGCAGTTCTCCTTACTAACCCCAGCAAAGCCATTGTTGGGGGGAGTGGGAAGTACAGAATTAGTGGCCACTACTTGAAACCATTATTAAACAGGATCAGAGGGCTCAGTGTGTGAGCTTTCAGGTGATGGATGGGTCAGCGGATGGAGTGGACAGCGAGAAAGGTTATCTCAGAGTACCACAGACCTCGATCAGATGGGCAAATGTGCTGAGGAGTGGCAGATGGGATTTAATTTGGATAAATGTGAGGTGCTGCGTTTTGGAAAGGCAAATCAGGGCAGGACTTATACACTGAATGGTAAGGTCCTGGGGAGTGTTGCTGAACAAAGAGACCTTAGAGTACAGGTTCATAGTTCCTCGAAAGTGGAGTCACAGGTAGATAGGATAGTGAAGAAGGTGTTTGGTATGCTTGCCTTTATTGGTCAGTGCATTGAGTATAGGAGCTGGGAGATCATGTTGTGGCTGTACAGGACATTGGTTAGGCCACTTTTGGAATATTACATTCAATTCTGGCCTCCCTGCTATAGGAAGGATGTTGTGAAACTTGAAAGGGTTCAGAAAAGATTTACAAGGATGATGCAGGGGTTGGAGCTGTTGAGCTCTAGGGAGAGGCTGAATAGAACAAAGAACAAGGAACAATACAGAACACAAACAGACCCCTCGGCCCTCCAAGCCTGAGCTGACACATTTTGCCCTTCCATACTAAAACTGTCTCCACTTACAGGATTTATATCCCCCCATCCGTCCAGGTGCTTCTTGAATGCTGTTATTGGGTCTGCTTCCACATTCCGGGCACTCACCACCCTTTGTATGAAAAACGTGCCTCGTATATCTCTTTTAAACTTCCGCCCTAAACAGGCGGGGGCTATTTCCCCTGGAACATCAGAGCATGAGGGGTGACCTAAAAGAAATTTAAAACCTCATGAGGAGCATGGATAGGGTAAATAGCCAAGGTCTTTACCCAAGTGTAGGGGAGACCAAAACTGGATGGCATAGGTTTAAGGTGAGAGGGGAAAGATATAAAAGGGTCCTAAGGGGTAAATATTTAATGCAGAGCGAGGTGCATATTGGAATGAGCTGCCAGAGGAAATGGAGGAAGCAGGTACAATTACAACATTGAAAAGGCATCTGGATTGGTAAATGAACAGGAAGAGTTGAGAGAGATATGGGCCAAATGCTGGCAAATGGGGCTGGACAAATTTAGGATATCTGGTTGGCAAGGACGAGTGGGGCAGAGGGTCTGCTGTATATCTCTATGACAGTACAATATGGAGTGCGAGTGTGTGAGTAATCTGTGTGTCAGTGGGTATGGTGTGTGAGTGTGTGGGTAATGTGTGGGTCATTG